TTGTTAAGGTTCAAACCCACACCCTCACTATATCAGTGTATTTACCCACGTGGGCGCGCGACAGCCGTGACCAAAATAAACTAGGTTGACTGGACAAACAAAACAGAAACACGTAAAACAATTTAAAGATGCCTAAGGAATCAGTCCATTCTGTAAGCTCTTTGAATGTGCCATGTCTGCCATGATACTACCCCATTCAAATGCTGACATAGAAAGAGGTTTCAGTGCTATGAATTATATCAAATCTAACCTAAGAAATAAGATGAAACTTGACCTCTTAAATGCTATCTTGACAATAACATTTTAACTGATGAGAGTAGGAAAATACTATTCAACTTATCAGCTTCCTGATTGTGTGTTAAAAAAAACTCGAACAGCTAAAGCAAACCAGAGTCATTTTGGATCTGAAGCTTTAACTTCATTATCCAAGCTATGTTTATCTTGTGGATCTTGTGAGACAGACATTAGTGAAGATGATGACATAGTTGTATACGGTAAGTCATTTCAATAGCTATGTAATTTGTGACCGTTTCATTTAGATGTTTTTTCTAGATGTTTTCCCGTGCAAATCTATATATTTTTTTACCTGTTTCTAGATGCTTTCTGTCAAAGAAAAGTGGACAACTGCTCTAGATCTACTGATAAACTGTTTCACCGTTTTCTGAATTGGCTGGCTGCTATTCACGAGGAGGCAGGCCTTAGTGGTCATTATTTGATTGATTGCGGTGAAATGGTTTCTCAGATCTGCTCTGTGCTCGACTTTGTTGTACTCCCAGCACTCCGTGCACATAGGGCTGCTGGATTTGTCTTTCCTAACCCAGCCTAAGTCTCCATAGTAACGGTCGGGATTTTCTTTGGGTCCTTGTGACTGTGTGCTGGGATTTTTGAGGAGCCTGAAGGCATGTCTGCCTTTCTTGGTGTTGAACCTCGCTTCGTAGATTATTTTTTTTAGGGGAGGGGGGGGGGGGGGTAGCTAGCCCGATATCGACTGTGTCCGGGCTCAGTTACCCTTTCTTGGCCGCCTGGTTTGCTTTTTCGTTGCCAGGCACCCTTTTGTGGGCTGGTATCCATCTAATGGCGATGAGGCAGCCCATCTGGCTTAGTCTGGTAGTGGTTGTCAGGATCTGTTCTGTAATATCTGGCTGACTGCATTTGCAAAGTCTTTTCAGCGCTATAACAGATGCCAAGGAATCAGTGAAAATGCACATCTTGATCGGGGGTGTCGCCTGTCGCTGCTTCGAGAGCCTTTGTTTACCAATTATTATTCAAGGGGACAGTCCTCCTTATGAAAAAATATCACACTCGAGTCACCCACATGTATGGTGATCGCAAGCTTGCTTGTGCTTGTTGTACCCCACCTGGACATCACACAAGCGATAAACACCCGGTAACATGAAGTGCCACCACACGGATGAGGATCACCCGTGGAGAGGTCCCAGAAACCCTTTTGAGCCGCTATGACCACAAATGCGTCTTAACTAATTTTAGGGCCCCCGTACCACTATAATTATAAAAGGCACACAATGACGTATGCCTGAAAAAAATTATTGATTAAAATCATATCAAAGTATGTATAATTGACTGACTTTCTACCCCACCAGGACATCACACAAGCGATAAACACCCGATGACACAAAGTGCCACCATGCGGGTGAGGATCACCGTGGAGAGGTTTCAGAAACCGCGTTCAGACAATTGGCCATATCTATGGCTTGCCTGTATTGCGGCCCCTAACAAAAGCCAGAGTGGGGCTTCAAATTACAAAAAATGTCGTCCTAAATAGGACGAAAGTGGATAAATAGTAAGGTATGTATAACCAAAGACCCAAGCACCTTTTCACCCCAGACGTCAACTGGAGCAAGATTTTTACAGTGTTTCTATACTGATAAACAAATGTAGTTATTTATTGCATTTATTACTTTCCCAACATCTATAATAATTAATTTTAATATGCAGAATTTAAGAAAAAAGAAAGCTTCTTACCAGTTTGGTTTCCGGGTCCCATTTTAATAGGGAAAAGGGCCCGGCTCTCTAGCGTAGTTGGCTAAACCGGATTGCGCGGAGACCGGGTGACGAATTCCTCGTGGTCCGGGTTCACTCCCGGGGGAATGCAAAAAAGCCACATTTCTTCTAGATTTACGGTATTTACAATGGAATCAAGGCCGAAAGGTTGCGATATCCATAATACCGAGCCTAAGGGTTAACAACTCATGGCTTCTGGATACTAAAAACAAAAATAGGGAAAAGGAAAGAACTACCCCCCCCCCCCCCTTTTCTTATCTAACAAAGTAAAGGACTCTTTTCATGCCTTTAATCATATTTGGGCTATCCTCTGAATAACGGTCCCAAATTATCGAGGCCGAAAATATAGTCTTACAGGGCCTCAGTCAAATGTCAGTTGCGAACTTCCGGTGACTTTCGCAACTGCCCACGCCGCTACAAGCGGCGTGGATTGGGGCTAAATTAGATGGCTGGGTCTCATGAGCAGCAGCTACCGCATCTCCTGCAGCCTCCTTCATTTTATTTGCTCGTGAGTCCCAGCCATCTAGTTTAGCCCTAATCCAAACTGAGCGTAGCAGCGTGGGGAAATACTCTCGGCAGCGGAGATATAGTCCCCAGAAGTCCGAAATTAGGCGGTGGCGGCATAGTCTCCGGAAGTACGCAACTCACATGTGACTGAGGTCCTGTTAGGGTATATTTTCGGCCTCGATTATTTGGAACCGTTATTCGGAGGATAGCCCATATTTGGAATACAGGGCTAGACCTATATTTGTATAGGCAAATCTCCACTTGGTGGGTGATGTGGTCAGCATCAAGCCGGCTGCTTATACTTCCCAGGACTGCACCTGGTACCCATTCATGGCTGGGTCGACCTGAGATTCAAGGTGATTTATTTTTTAAAACCCGGCTCCGTCAGAACCCAACCCCTTGAACCCTTTTCCAATCTTCTTTTTCTTTTCGTTCACCGGTTGTAAACTCCGACAGAAAGTTCTGGTTGTTCGTCTACTTCTGGACTGCAGTCCTGTTCCAGAACCTGAGTGTTGCATGTTCATCCGTTTGACACATCTGTATGCAGACTGTTGGTTCCTTGCCTCACAGGCAGATGCACTCCGACTTTGAAGAAAGCTCCCAATTAGTCAACTCTTACGACATGCTTTTGGGTAGGCAGTGAGACTATTCTTGTTTTTCCCATAGTAGGGTCCCGGAACCCACACAGGGACCTTTTCCAATAAAAGGGGACTAACTATCAGTGTTTCCTTCAATGTAAGAGTGTGTTTACTTTAGAGGTGAGAATCAAACAATCTGCATATTAATAAGCTGAATCTCTAAAATAGATGTGAACACAAAACTTAAGTTCTGGGACAAACAACCAGGACTTTCCATCAGAGTTCATAGCTGGTAAATGCTGAGAAGAAGAAGAAGAAGAAGAGAGCCGTCTGAGACTAGAAGCATTGGACAAAAAAATCTACGTAGATCTTGTAACATTTGAGTCTCTTTCTGCATCTCCCAGTGGAGCACAAGCCATCAACCAACTAATGACAAATCATTCATTTCTTTACCACTGTATTCAGCTCACCTGATGTCCTCCCGAACATTTTTGCTCACCTCATTTTCTATATTTTTGGGGTTTTTCTTCTTCTAATTTTTTAGATATTTTTTTTTTTAATTTTAGAGAAGCGTGGAACCAACGGTCTGCAAAAATACTTTTGCAAAGAATAGCAAAGCCAGGTCTGTGAAATGGATTTACATGCAAAACCCAAATTATAGAATAACTGAAAAGCTCAGAAGTGGAGAAACTACCATAACTTTCCAACAGACTTTACAGCCACTGAGGGCTGGGAGAAAGAAGAAAATGAGCATACCAGTCAAGTGTCAGTACTTAGACTTGTATTTTATAACGCACAATTGTTCACAATAATTGGAAAACAAGTGTTTCTATTGTAACACGGTAAAACCTGGTAAACTGCACAAAGAAATTTAAATACATTTGTAAAAACAATGCAGATTTTGCATACTGTGTGAATAAGTATTCTTTTCTTCCAGGTATATGCATGTGTATACCATTTTAAAATGTTTCTTATGTGTGAATAAGGAATTAGGTCTGGATTCGACAAGAACAGATGTATGAGAAAAAGACAATTATGTATATATAATTAGCATGCTATGGGAAGAGTTAGCATCTACACCTTAGGACATTTGTTATATGAGATGACCTTGTATGAGATGACCTTGTATGAAATGACCTTGTATGAGAAGACCTTGTATGAGATGACCTATGGGTATACCCAGTGTGCTTTGATGTTGATTCTTAAAATTAGTGACTCTTTTAAAAAATTTTCATGTTTGTATACGGATATTAATTAATTTTAATGCTAAAAAATCTGTGAAGCAGATAATTTAAAATAAACAAAAATATGGTATACTCCCCTTTTTTACATAAAAGCCCTGGTAAAACAGACTGGACACCCATGTGTAATGTTGTGCACGTAAAAAATATCTTGGCAACCTAACGGCACTGCCTGGACACAAAATGTGGAGTTAAAAATCTACGCAAAAGTATTTCAGGATACTCACCGGTGCAACGGGGTTTGTGCCCTGCGCTGAGATTCTACACTCGGGCATGAGTTAGAAGTAGAACGGAGCACTTATGGGTTACACCCGTGTGCCATGATACTGATTTGTCGACTAAACTAAAACTAAGATCAGGATCTCTGTGTTGGTTCCCCATTTTTGGGAAGAATCTGGCCCATAATAAGTATGTAAGTCGTAAAAAATGACTCACGAAATGTTTCCTGATGCTGGATGTGTTGGGTCAAAAGGCACAGATATCACAGCCTGACTGTAAACAATAACACAACCTCCCATTTAAAAGCAAACTTAGAAGAAAAAAGAAGACACATATTAGGATATTTCAGAAAGATGTACAGATTATGCACTTTTATCACTTGTGCTAAATTATTTTTGGTACCACCTATTGTAAAACAAAACACAAAAAAAGATCATTTTCCAGAAATTTCCAGTATTGTTCCTAATTTTTCTTCCTTAGAATAGTGTTGATGACCATCTGCCATATCTCTGCTGCTTTCAGATACGGTTCCATTTGCTTTCATCATTCTAGAGGATTCTATCACCTCTTTGTTGATATTCTCCTCACAGTGAAACCCATTCTCTTGATTGCTCTCAGTGTTGGTTATTTTCTTCAATTCGTTCTCTAGCTTAGACTTCTGAAGTTGATCCTCTAGTTCCATGTCCTCTGTATTCTCAATAAATGCTGACATCAGCAATGCTAGCAGGCTGCCAGTCAACAGGGAAAAACCTGCAAAACATGGCAATTAATAAATTAATATAGTAAACAGTATTTTTAGAATGAATGAAAGAATGAATCAAGAACAGATATTTTCCCGTGTGGGGTCCTGTTATAGGGAAAACAAGAATAGACCCACTACCTACCCAAAAGCATGTCGTAAAAGTCGACTAATTGGGAGCTTCCTTTGAAGTCAGAGTGCATCTGCCTGAGAGGAAAGGAAATAGCAGTTTGCATACAAATGAGTCAGATCTGTAAAACGGATGCACACCCAACACTCAGGTTCTGGAACTGGACTGCAGTCCAGAAGTGGATGAACAACCAGAATTTTCCACCAGACTTTACAGCTGGTGAACGCAAAGAAGAAGAAGAAGAAGAAGAAGAAGAAGAAGAAGAAGAAGAAGAAGAAGAAGAAGAAGAAGAAGAACAGACATCTCTGCAATTCAGATATTCCCATTGGTGCTCTGTCCTTTTCTTCAGCAACCAACGATGAGTTCCCACACTGATGGTGAAGTTGCAAACTGATTCAAGTTCCCACACTGATAGTGAAGTTGCAAACTGATTCAAGTTTCCACACTGATGGTGCAGTTGCAAACTGATTCAAGTTCCCACACTGATGGTGCAGTTGCAAACTAATTCAAGTTCCCACACTGATGGTGCAGTTGCAAACTGATTCAAGTTCCCATACTGATGGTGCAGATGCAAACTGATTCAAGTTCCCATACTGATGGTGCAGATGCAAACTGATTCAAGTTCCCATACTGATTGTGCAGATGCAAACTGATTCAAGTTCCCACACTGATGGTGCAGTTGCAAACTGATTCAAGTTCCCATACTGATGGTGCAGTTGCAAACTGATTCAAGTTCCCATACTGATGGTGCAGTTGCAAACTGATTCAACGTCCATCTACTGATTCAACGTCCATCTGTTTTGTTCCTATGCATGTAGAAAATCTTCTAGACCCTCTGCTCACTCCCATCTGAATCCTTCTCTCCAGAAACAGATGCTCTGTCTGTTTTGTTGCATCATTCACTTGATCCCAAAGAGTCCTCACTATGATCAGCTTTATGGTAAAGTAGTTCCCTGCCGAAAGGAGCAGCAGCAGCTAATCTATTAGTATGGACATTGTCACGCACATCCTAATGTCCTGTGCAAAAATTCCACTATATGATCCTTACCTCAGTGTTATTGAGGGATGCAAGCCAATGTGAGCGCAAGTCATCAGTTTCTATTTTCCAGAGCTTGGTCTGTAAGTCAGGTTTAATCAGTCTGTACTACTGTCCAGCCATCAGAAAGCTGCCGTTACTGACTGTACCTTCATTCTTAAGTTAGATGTTGTGACATAATACACACAATTTTATTTCTTAAACAACTTTCATTCTCCATTGCAATGAAAACTCATTCATTTTTTTTAAACTTCTCACCATAGATCCAACTGTGTGTACAATAAAAAACACCTGAAGGTGAAAATTCATTGCTCAGTTCTTTCACTGATGCTTCCGTTTCCCCAGTTTTTCTTTCCTGACACCCTCAGTGCAAAGTAATTATCACTCTATGCAGGGCTACTTTGCTAGGCAACACTGTCATCCATTCCTCACCACACACTGTCCTGTCAACTGCACACAGGCATCTTCGTTTTTGAATAACTTCAGAAACAACATTAACTAATACCTACTGCTGCAGACAGAATGAGTCAAAGTAACAACTGCATGGGAATAAAAGAGTTAACCATTGCCTATTCCTGATTTTGGGAAAGAAGCAGGGGCGATGGAACTGGAGGACTTAGACACCTTGAGGCCCCCTCCACAAGTTAGAGGGGTTCATTGCCCCCACTCCTTAAATTTTCAAGAGGTTACCCTTTAAAGGTTTTGTTTAAAGTATCATAATTTCAAATACAGTATTATATTTATTTGCCATTCAGCACATTACTATTATTTTTATTATGCAATTAAATAAAACACAGGCCCTGCTAAGGCCCACCTAGAATGTTTGTAAGGGAACTGAGCTCTGACATTAATGTCCCGAGGAAAAAAAGGGATGTACAACTATTAAACTTTAGCTGAGTAGGTTAATGTAACAATCAGCTGGGACATAAAGCGGTAATGTACACTGACAACTCTATACAGTCTATGCTTTTTGAGTTGCCTTTATGGGACAATCACCAGAGGTTAACCGGAACAGCATTACATAAAAGCTAAGATATTATCAGATAACACAGGTTATAAAGAGATTTTGAGAACACATGGACAAGAATTAATGAATGAAAATAGAGAAGTCTTCACAATTTTTGTGCAGGAAATCAATATGTTATTTATGAAAACCATTTTCCCACATAAAAGAATACACAAGGAAACACGGAAACCATCAGATCAGGAGGCAATTATTCAAACTGATCAAATATGTATAAAACACACAATTTAGATCATCCCTGTATGATGTTAGTGTTTTTGGAGATGCTGATATATTTACTGACCACTTTCTGTAGGAAAGTAAAATCAAGTTAAAACTTAAGAGATAAATTAACATGTTACAATTATGAGGATTTCTCAGGGATAAAGAAGTTTTAGAACAATTTTTAGTTACAGTCTGAAATAAGTAACAGAGGTGGCAAAAGTTATCTAAGGAGGTGAGCCCTGAAACTGACAGGGAACAGATCAAAGGAATTTGGAATGAGGTTAGTGTAAAAATCCTTGGTAAAATGAACGCAAACACAAGGTGCAGATAATGCTTGAAATCCTTAAAACAACTGAAAAAAGAAAAGAAAAGTAATAAGCAAAATTTAGATGAATTAGCATAAGAAGTGGAGACAGCAGCAGCAAAAGGAAACCACAAAGACCTTTACAGCAACACAAGGAAATTAGCAGGTAAATACAGTCAGCCAAATAAATCAACTAAAAATAGTCAAGGAAAGGTTCTTACAAATAATACAGATCAGATGGTCAGATGGGCTAAAAATTTGGAAGTACTTCTTGTCGCGCGCCCACGTGGGTAAATACACTGATATAGTGAGGGTGTGGGTTTGAACCTAAACAATGCCCACCCACGTGAGAAACTGGACTATTATCTAAGCTATGTTGATCCTAGACAGTCCTGGATAGCCAAGAAAACAGCGAGTGGCTCGTTCCATGAAATGAAAGTTGCTGTACTTGTATCCACAGGAGAAGGAGAAGGGATAGATAGATATCTGGATACACCCACTGTGATATAATCCAGGTGCTCAGTTAACCCCTGCGACTGGTCTCCTCTCCTGGCATTACTTAAAAGCCCCCATCAAGTGATTTAAATATTTGTTAGCTGAAGTAAACTAATATGCACAAAGACACTTGAACCTAAGTACACAATTTACTCGACTATGTTTAAACATCACACATGATTTATTTAATAAATCTGACTAAAATAAAATGAACTTGTTTATGCTAGTAGAGTTGGGATGATGTTATAGATGACATTAAAGTTGTACATAACTTAGCTCCTCAGGACAGTTCTCGGCTTGAGACCCTGCCTATCTTTTCCAGTTTGTCGTCCTCACTGCTTTCTGCAGGTCGTTACACTCGACGGTCGGCAAATAATGGATGCCTACCAGTCCCTGCCCAATGTGGGAACTGGAAAAATGAAACCACGATGCCAAAAGTTCTGTCTCAAGCTTAGGTTAAGCCCAACAGATGGCATGTGCTAGACAGGATCTCCAATTACCAGACCTAGCGTTCACCACTTTATAACTTTTATCAAGCTCCTCCTACATTACGCCTAAAATCATTCTCATTCACGGATATCAAAGCTCCTCCCTGTGGGTAAGTTTATTCGCTGTCAGTCAGTGACTGTACAACAATTGTTTGAATTCCCACGCTAGGGTCTCCTGGTCAATTCATCTGACCAGAGCAAATAGGACAAGTCACACCTCTAGCCTACTTCACCTGTCATCACAATAAAATCCGACTTTGTCAATTCTTCTGCCAACACTTTCCGCTCAATGTGTCAATAGTGACCGTCGGACCGGCACTCCAGTTTAGGTAACCTCAGGGGGAGATAATGGAAATTAGCCCTTGTTATCTGTTCCTGAAGATCTGGCAGGGGGAATAACTATCTGACACCAACGGATGGTGTGCAAATCTCCAGTCAGTAAGTCTGCTTGGTCAGTCTTATCTCTGTACCTTAACACTTAATAACTGGGAAAAAGTTGTAGTGTTTGATATGACCAACGGTCCAGGAGAATTAAATGCTTGTTTATTTCGCCTACTTAGATTAAGGATGTATCCAAATCCCTATTTTCCTGTATACTTTCAAAATACAAAGAAATAAAAGTAGGTTAAGGAAAGACCTTCTGAAGTCACCGAGCGTATTGTCACATAGCCTCTCCCTTAAGTTCGGTCACCCTGACCGCACATCAGCACACTCTGTGGCTTCCAAGAATTTCAAGTCCTTCTTTGCATAACTGCCCATAAGTTTTCTGTTTCCAGTATTCTTTATGGCAGTGGGAATTCCTGCACTCGTCTGCAGATATCCCATGTCCTTTCATCCAGGATAATTCAATACTGTCATTTTTCCAGGTAAGATCGAAATTAGGTTAACATCTATATTTTATGATAGAGATCTGTCTTTTTGCTCAAGTGTGTGTCTTCATCACTTTGTAGTACTCCTAGGCGGACATTTCTTCATTCTCGTAGGGCACTGTCACATTGCTTTACATCCTATTTGATAGTGTCATGAATGTTTTTCGTGCACATGTGTTTCAATGTTGTAAAACCTAAATGTTGTTGTTGCCATTGAAATTTAATGAACTACCATGTTTTTGAAATCACAAGCGTGAAGATAACTTTGGCAATCTTTTCACGTGTGGTAAATGTGAATCTGTATTACATACAGCTAACACACTGAAATGTGTTTAACTCTCGGGAGGCTAATGCGGAGATTGATCCCGGACGAGCCACCAATTGTCGCGCGCCCACGTGGGTAAATACACTGATATAGTGAGGGTGTGGGTTTGAACCTAAACAATGCCCACCCACGTGAG